CGTTGATCAGGAGTGGTCTTTCCCGGAGACCCATCGGTGCGGATGGACTAGACACTCTATTCAATATATATACTTTATTTTGGGTCGTGGAAGATGTACAGGAAGCCATGTCGGGAGGGGGTGATTCAGGTCATGGAATGGTCTTGCTGACCGGAAGGAATTCCTTCCAGTCATCAAGAGACTGTACAGTCTTGATGACTGGAGGGAATCTCCCCCGGCCAGTGGGAGGGAAGCGACTCCCAAACCTCCCACTTGCCAAGGAGGTTTTGGGTCCCGACTCCCGCCCAAAAAAATAAAAAAAAATAAAATTGGATTGGGAGGTCGACTCCCAATCCCCCAGGGGGAATTGGAAAGACGACTCCCGTCCGACGACCCCTCGACCAAAATGGGAGTCGTCGTCGAATTTTTGGGAGTCGTTTTTCCAACCCCCTATGAAAAAACAAAAACAAAAAACAAAGTTTCAAAATTTGTGAAAAATAAAAAATAAAATTTATTTTTCTCAAAAGCTTTGAAATTCATTTTGGGGGAGTGAGAGTTCTGAGAGAAAGGAAGATTGGGATGTTAGAAAAATGATTATAAATGAAAATTTTGCAAAAATTGGTTTCCAGATGGCTTCAAGCAGCTGTTGAGTGGGGCATTCACCAGCCCACATTGCAGTCAAGCACTAGAATTTACTGTTTTGGCTCCAATCTGGACAACCAACCTGGCCAAACCTTTTTTGGTTCCAATTTTTTTCATTTATAATCATTCTTCCCATGTTCCACTCTTTCTTTCTCTCAGCACTCCCACTCCCCCAAAATCAATAACAAAGGTTTTGGAAAAAAACATTTTTATTTTTTATTTTTCACAAATTTTGAAACTTGGTTTTTTGTTTTTATTTTTTCATATTCATTCTTTGGGAACTATTCTGCACCAATTCACCAAGTCTTGTGACTTGGAGTTTGTGCTTTGAAGCTGTAGAACCCAAAACAAGCCGCCAAAAATAACGGTCCACCCACTGTACATAGTGGACATAGAAATTTAGAAATCAAATCAGTCAAGTGACTCACAAGCCCTCAAAACGTTGTGTGTGATGCATATCAAATCTCTTGGCCCAAAGCAGCACTGGGCCGCTACATTTTTTGCCCAAAAAGTGTTAGCGTAGCAGACTTTTTTGCGCGCCAAAATTGTGTAGTGTTAGCAAAAAGTGACTTTTTGCTATACTACGCAGCGCTACGGGCCGCTAATGGCCGCTATGGGGCCAAAACACCGCCAAAATCCCGCTAAACAGCTTGTTAGCGCAGCGTAGCAGGCAATTTTTAAGGGCATCCATGTATAGTGTTAGCGTGGATGCTGTGAGAACTCCTTTGGGATGGGTTGGCAGTCCTTGAGGGGGAAATAACAATATGATATTTCAATGAAGTAATATTACTGTTACAGGTGGTTTGAAAGACCTGCCCCTCTATTTACTACACAAGAATTCTGACAACAATTTAATTCAGTGTTGTGGCGTAACTTTATAATGGAGAAAAATTTATATGAAGTAGTCTCTATCAGACCTAGATCAGTATGTAATACAATACAAGATGGTTATACAACCTTTACACGGTGAATGTGAGTGTGAAAACAATCCAAGTGGAAGATATTTTATGTGGTTTATGGTTTTATGGTGATTCTGGATAAGTAGTGAAATTGGTTGTTGTTGTGGCTGTTGTTTTTACTGGTGTTGACTAGACCTTTGATGTTGATGTTGTTGATATTGATGACCACTGAGCTAGCTGGGTACTGTGCTGGCTGGGTGATGATGGTGATGACCACTGAGCTAGTTGGGTATGAACTGGCTGGGTGATGATAGGGGAATTGGTGAAGGAGAGGCCTCCTGATATATTCTTTCCTGAGTTATTTTTGCTGGTGGTGATGCAGTTGAGGTGATTTTGCTGGTGGTGACCTTGTGGGTTGCACTGCCTCCTGCAAAGAGTACATACATTGAGCTAATTATGCTGTGGAAATAGCTAAATATGGTACTACTGTATGTAAGGATTGCATAAACTGGTTGCACTGCCTGGTGGAGGTTTTCTGTCCACATGCATTTATGCAAAGTCTGAATAAATCCAATTAAGTTACTAAGTGGAGGCCTAATGGTTGCCCATATGCATGCCAGAATTGCATAACTGATCTGCACTACTGGTGGAGGCCTGCTGATGTAATAATTTATGTGTGTGTACTTATATATATGTATGTACTTATATATATGTGGTAAACTACTATTAAATACTAATTAGTGACTAGTTATGGTATGGCTTTAACCTTTATATTGGATTATCTTCTAAACTAATAGAGATAGAGGTATAGTTGTAGTGAGTGACTATGGGTAAAATTGTATTTAGATTCTGATTATGCAATAATATATTCTTATATGTAAGTGGTTTAGGTTATAAGGTAGGGGTTTTGGCAGTTTTGTTGCGCACAACAGCCTGGACCACCACATCGCCAGATTGGTCGCATTTATAAGTCGCCCGATCCTCCCCCTTCTGAGCTGTAGTGTTTGTCTTCTTGAGAGCATAGCCATGTTCCAACGCCCACTTTTGAACCGTGTCATCTAGTTGCGCCCGGGTCCTATAAGATAACTTGGGAGGCGGCGCAAGGGAATGAAGACTGGCAGACGGAGTAGTTGACGGAGCTGCTGTAGACACAGTTTCATGAAGTGGAATGACTTTGTCTTGAGATGTACCAGTGAGGGGGTTCACGTGAGCAGTATCCTCAGTTGTCGCAGCCAAAAGAAGGAGCGGGTTGATGTGGCTTTGACTTTCAGACATTATGGAGGAGTTTGGTGAAGTTGAGTGATGAATTAAAAATGACGAGGGGTTCAACAAGAAAAACCAAGATGGTAGCCGTAAAAAGAAACAAGAAAGAATTTTTTGATGGTGTTCAAGAAGAAATTGCTTGAGAACCGGCTGAGTTAATGCAGAGGTAGTTTGAGTCCTACTAGCAATCGAGCAATGAATAACCAACAACAAGAGGTGTGTCGGCAAAAACAGAGATTTTGGCCGTCAAGAAGGTCAAGAAAGACCATTTTTGAAGGTTTTCTTGAAGAAGTTGGTCAAGAAACGGCTGAGTTATTCAGAGTTGGGGTATAGGTCCTACTAGCAATTGAGTGATGATTTGAAAAGAACGAGAGGTCCAGCAAGAAAATCGGAAACTGTGGCAGTGAGGAGGATCAAGAAAGAAGATTATTAGTGTTTTGAATGAATAAAATGGTTGAGAAACGGCTGAGGTATTCAGAGTTGAAGTTTAAAACCTACTAGAGTTCCAGCGGTGATTTAAAAAAAACGAGAGTTCCAGAAAGAAAAACGGAGAAGGTGGAAGTGAAGAGGATCAAGATAGAAGATGATTGATGGTTTTCTTGAAGAATCTGGTTGAGGAATGGCTGAGTTCTTCAAAGTTCAAGTTTGAGTCAATTTTGAGTTCCAGCGATGAATTAATAAAAACGAGAGGCCCAGAGGCAAAAATGGAGATGGTGGAGGTCAAGAGGATCAAGAAAGAAGATGATTGATGATTTTCTTGAAGAAATTGGTCAAGAATTGGCTGAGTTATTCTGAGTTGGGGTTTGAGTCCTACTAGCGTTCCAGCAATGATTTAAAAAAAAAACGAGAGGTCCAGCGGCAAAACCGGAGATGGTGGCGGTCAAGAGGATCAAGAAAGAAGATGATTGATGATTTTCTTGAAGAATTTGGTTGAGGAATGGCTGAGTTCTTCAAAGTTCAAGTTTGAGTCAATTTTGAGTTCCAGCGATGAATTAATAAAAACGTGAGGCCCAGAGGCAAAAATGGAGACGGTGGCAGTCAAGGGGATCAAGAAAGAAGATGATTGATGGTTTTCTTGAAGAAATTGGTTGAGAATTGAAAGAGTTATTCAGGGTTGAAGTTTGAGGCCTAACAATGAATTTAAAAAAAACAAGAGATGGATCAGCAAAATTGAAGACCATGGCGCTGAAGAGGATAAAAAAAGGATACTTTTGGTATTTTCTTTGTGAATTTTGGTTGAGAAATGGCCAAGTTGTGATTTTTTGAAGTTTATAGTGTACAGTGGGTAGACAGTGAAAAGTGGCTGCTTATTTTGGATTCCAGAGCTCTGACACACAAACTCGAAGTCATAAGACTTGGTCAGGTGGTGCATAATAGCTCCCAAAAAATGAATATGAAATAATAAAAGCAAAAAATAAAGTTTGAAAATTTGTGAGAAATAAACAAAAAAACCCGATTTTTTCCAAAAGCTTTGATATTCATTCTGAGGGAGTGGGAGTGCTGAGAGAAATAAAGAATGGAACGTGGGAAGGATGATTATAAATGAAAAAAATTGGAACCAAAAAAGGATTGGCCAGGTTGGTGGTCCAGATTGGAGCAAAAACACTAAATTCTAGTGCTTTGCTGCAATGTGGGCTGGTGAATGCCCCACTCAACAGCTGTTTGAAGCCCTCTGAAAACCAGTTTTTCCAAAATTTTCATTCATAATCATTCTTCTCATTTCCCAATCTTTCTTTCTCTCAGTACTCCCACTCCCCCAAAATGAATATCAAAGCTTCTGCAAAAAATCAATTTTGTTTTTTATTTTTCCAAAATTTTGAAACTTTATTTTTTGCTTTTATTGTTTCAGATTCATTTTTTGGGACCTATTATGCACCACCTGACCAAGTCTCATGATTTCAAATTTGTGCTCTGGAGCTCTGGAATCCAAAATAGGCAGCCACTTTTCACTGTCTAGGCACTGTACCTGCAAGTTGGAAATGAACCAGAGGTGAATCAAAAAAATCCGAGTCCGTGGGGTTGAAGAGGAGACAAAAAGAATAATTCTGGTATTTTTTGGTTGATTTTGGTTGAGTTTTGACTGAGTTGTGGTGTGTTGAAGGTTTAGAGGGGGAGTGATGTCCTTTTTCGATTGTGGTGAGTGGTTTTCTTGTTTGGTGCCTGCAGGAAAATTTTTAAAGTTCATGCAGGCACTTGTGGTATGCGCGCGCGCCCCCTGGAGGCAAAATTATGCATAAATTATGCATAATTAATAAAACCGCGTTAAAACACGGAATCCGTGTGTGCTGCGCTGCAGCAAAACCGTGTCAAAACGTGGAAAAACCGGGGTTTTTTTTAAGGCCCTTTTTTTTGGGGGGGGGGGATTTAACACCCCAAAACCCCCTGGACAAGTGAGAGGTTTGGGAGTCACCTCCCTGCTGGAAATACCCTGTCGGCCGTTGAGGATGTACAATGCCTAGACAGTGAAAAATGGTGTCCCATTTATTTTTTTTTTGGAGGGCAAGGAGCCACTTTTCAACTCCAATTTTTTTGTCACAGGGGCGCAGTGGGACAGGGAAAAAGAATATAGAAACAAATTAATTACATAGGCAATCAAAAAAAAGATAAAATTTGTTGAAAAAAAAAAACAAATTTTGTAGTTTTTTTCAATATTGATGTAAAAAATACACAATTTAGAGGGGGGATGCGCTGAGAGTGGAGAAGAAAGATATAAAAAAAAGTTAAAAAAGTTTTTTTATTATTGTTTTTTAAATTTTTGTTGAGGGGTCTTGGTCGGGGACGATGTAGCCTTTGCTGGGCGGGCTGGGAGTGGCTGGAGGAGGAGGAGCCGCCGGCGACGGCCCGGTCTGAAGCAAGTCGGTCGGCCGCAGACTGCCCCGTGACCTGTTGCATGGTGGAGGAGGTGATGGGGAACGGGGCCGTCGCCGGTCTGAAGCAAGTCGGTCGGCCGCAGGATCTTCGACCAAGCAAATAGAACTTAGATCTTCGAATGGAACATGATACGTCTTCTCCACGTGATGATTATTAAACTGCTGGTTCCTTGCTGGAGTCAGTCACGAATCGAGTGACTACCAAATCCACGATATCTTTCCATTTGGTCATAGCACCAAGACCTGACGGATTGATAACGACGAAAATACCATTGTCGTCTCAGTGGCCCCATTGACGATCTCGTTGCCAGTCATCCAGCCCACCACCTCAGATCCTGACAAACAAGCCGCCTATGATGGACACGGAGAAGACCCAGACTCAAGATCAGCAGGACAGCGTCCATCTGCCTTCCACCTCCACCGCCGAGATCTATCAATCCCACATTGCCTCGATGATCCAGGATGCCGTTGCAGGTTACAACTCGATCTCCTGTTATCGATATAGGTGAAATCATCTGGG